TGTCACAGGCACAACATAAGTACTGTGCTTTTTTTCACAGAAAAGTAGCAAAAGGCTGGGGCCTGATTCACAGCTCTGGCTGAACTAACCAGCTCCAGGAGAAGTCACTGAGACCTGCACTGAGCACTGGGCATCCAAGCAAAGCAGGTGAGTAGTGTCCAGGTGAGGGTGCTTCGAAAACTGAGAAAGCAGAAGCAACAGAGTCTGTCGTGACAGTGGAGTATATACTGCTGTGTTCAAACTCAGTCCCAAGTTACCAAGTAACCCTTAATGCTTATATGTTAGTTTGCAGCCAGGGTAGCTATGTTTCATGCAGTTTGGCTCCTTCTGCAGGAAAGCTAAGGCTTAGAAATGATTCGGGTTGAAGTCCTCCCACATCTCCCCTCAGCCATGGGGACATGACTGGTAGCCAAACAGTGTCAACCAGCTTGCCCACAGTCTGTTAAAACTACCCTGTGGCCCTGCACGCTCTTGACCTGTCTCTATGTCCCAGTGCTGACTTGTACAGCACGTCTCCACCTTTGATATTCCATCCTAAAAACCCACATTCCATGTGTGGAGAACACCTCCAGAAACCATTACCGAGAGAGGGAGACAGGTATGTTGGAAAACCTGAGTTGCACAGCTTATATAATGGGAAAGTAACAGGACAGTAGTAAGGGTGCATCTAACCCTCACTCACTGTGAGCACAGAGGAACCATGGAGAATCAGACTTCAAAATCTGAGATCTCTGAATCATTTGGGAAAGCCTGGGGTTTGCCAGAGCCCCACCTCAGAGCACCAGTGAGTTGGGGGGCATTAATGCAGTTTGTTGGCATGGAGAATGGGCCTTAGGAGATGAGGACATGTGGGCTCTACCCAGGGAACACACGCATTGTGGGACACTAGCCAGGTTTAAATTAAGCAGCCAAAGTATGTGAACTGTTAAGGAACACCACTTGCCCTCCAGCCCTCTTGTCCCTCGTTTGTGCATGACTTCCTGGCACGGGCAGATTTTCTGTTCTCTTGCTGTGAGCAGACAGATCTTATGCCTCGAAGAGATTGCTAGGTATGTCAGACCAGATTCTGCCTAGCCACAAAAACCAAAATGACCATCTCAGATCCCCCTAGCCTATCATGGACCTTTTCCCACCTGTTTTGTCCTTCTAGAGAATACATATTTCCCAAGAGATTCAGGTTCATTGCAATTACTGCTGTTTTTTATGCATACATGATGCAATTCTGTAGATTTAACAGCTGTGTTTCCCTGAATGCATTACCATCCCCCAGTCCCTTTTGCCATGTGCTTGTAGTGGCATTTCTTGGCCTTCTCTAGACAGGAGAAGATAGAAGATTTTGCACCAATTTTGTTGGTCTTCTTCCGGTGAACAGACAAGCCCTTCTTCTAGGGCCAGGTAAAATACAGAGCTTGACAAAATCACTGGCTGGTTGGCAGTCTGTGGCAAAGACGCTAGCTAGTGCCAGACATCTGGCCAGCCCTCAGGACTTCAGAGGCAGATAAGGAGCTACAGGCTGATGGGTTCATCATGTAAGACAAACACTGGAGACATACAAACTGGATGCTCTACACAGCCATATTATAGTCTCTTCCACATTCTCCCCTGAGTTGTAGAGAAAAATCTGTTTGTTGCCTACCAAGAACCAAAGATCAGGGACGCAAGTGAACACCTCATGCAGGAACTCTTAGACGAAAAGAAGACACTTATACCCTCCTATGTAACGTATTCCTGGAACTGACCAAAGAGCGTCGTTGCACAAAGCAGTAGTACAAGATACACAGCCAGCAGACATTAGAGCGTGATGCAAATAACCTCTTCAGGGGCTAACGTAACCCAAAACCTCAGCTTCGAGCTGTGAAAAAGAGGCAGAGGGCTTGCCATGCTGTTACTAGACATGATGGAGCTACTTCCCTCTGTCATGAAGGAAGTCTCAGCCATCTATGATAACACGTGACCCCATTGCAAAACTGCCACTGAAGCTGTCTTAGGACAGACACCAAGGTGCTAGTGTGACCCAGGGCACTGAAAGAGACTATGACATGTCTTCCTTTAACTGTTGGCACCACAGATTTGTGTGTGTACATATGTGTGTATCTGTGGGCAGAAAGAACTGTACTGTATCTTGGCTTAATGGAACATCTGATTTCCAGGGAAAGGGGCAGCTGTACTCATCCTGTGTACTTAGTGACATCTAGGAACTGGCCTATCCAGTTCACAGCACCCGAGGTATCCTTTTTTTCTTTCAATATTGCCTTGTGCTCTGCACCAGCCTTCTTTTCTATTGTCTCCACCAGTGTGATGCAGAACCCCTGACAATGCCAGAAATTTTAATTGCCACTACTGGGGAGCAAGTGCTACGGTATAAGGGCCCCTCGTATATCATAGCTAGTGAGCTGTGGGCTTCCTCACGTCACAGGAGAGACTGGCCACTCAGTGGTAGGATTGGTGAAGCATGCGACAGTTAACTGGGTGGGTGGAAAATTGGCTGGACTGCTGGGCTCAGAGGGTAGTGCAAGTGCTGCAAAGCCCAGTTGGCAGACAGTAATTAGTTGAGTGCCTTGGAGATCAGCCCCCTTCAGAATTTCCACAGGTATGCTCATGTTCTGCCTTATGCTCCATGTGCTCATTCACACCTCAACAAAATGAACGCAAACCCCTCCTTGTTGCTGGCCTCTGCGCTGATGCATCTATGCCCACTGACTTTCAGAAGTTTTGTTACAAAACCTGGAGAGCAGGCTGCTGACTCCCAGGATCTGCAGACCGGTCTGCGTGGATCACAGGGCTGTGATCTGGCACTCTGCCACCCTCTTCCACGGCAGAGCAGCCCTCCTCTAGCGTGATGCCAGCGGTGCACGGCAGCCAGGTGGGGATGAGCACGAGGCGACGCCGCTAAAAGCGGCGTTAACTTCGACCAGAGGTGGTTCTACCCTGGGGACGAGGGCTCCTGCCACCACCTGAATTTTTCTGCGGGTCACCGAAGTCTTTCCGAGTTACCGGCTTGCTGCGGCGGGCAGGCGGCAGCGCACGTGCCAGCATCCAGCCCCGCGCTGCGGTGCCAGGGGGACGTCTGCTGCACCTGCACTGCGGCCCAGTGCGCAGGGGAAGTCCCCGCCGGCTAAAGACTCGGAGGGCTAGCCTCCCTTGCTCTGCCTCTACCATTACCGACTGGTTTTGCATCTTTTTTTGTGTGCTTTGTGACCGCAGGGAACTGTGGGCTCTCGGTTATCTTCAAATAAGAGACTTGCAAACCTTATCATCCTTAATCATGGAGGAAGGTTAAAAATGAAAAGGGACTTGACACCAATGAGCAAGTGACAGAGAGGAACAAAACCTCAGCTGCTTGCTTCTCTTCCCTGTCTATCGGACACTTTAAAGATTCCTCAAGAGTCGCCCAGATATCCACCAGATTTTCTCCAACAGTTCCTACAATTTTATTCAGATTATCCAGGGCTAAAGCCAGTCGGAGAACTGTTTGTGCTATTACAAACAGTTTAATTCATGATCTGTGTGATTAATGAGACCACTGAGAGAGGAAAGAAGGTTGGGTATACTTCTCGGAGGAAACATGCATTTTTTTCTTTGTGGTATGAAATTTCCTCATTCCTTTTCTCAGAATAGCTCAAGAGAACGGAAGTTTCTCAGTTTGAGATCTAATCTGCTCTGCCTTTGCAGGAAGTTACAAATGTCTCGAACAAGCTTTCAGTTGACACATTTTTCTAAACAAGAAGCCCTTCGGACAGAGCCTTACCGATTAGAGACAGAAGTGGTTAAACCACAGCTCATGCCCATAGTTGCCAACTTGTTAGCCTTACACCTTTATCCTCTTGTCATTAGTCCAAGTTATGCAGGTTTTGATTCCTGTAAAATAATAGCATCTCATGGCTTATTTTGGGTATTTTGCTCTGTTGAAAGCCTTGCCTGTCTCAATGTAATTAGTTAGGGAGGGCTATTTTCACTTGCAAACCTATGCAAATAAACATTTCTCAGAGTATTTATATCACAATATATCTCTGGTTTTTGTGGTTTTTACTCCTTGACCCAGCTAATTAGCTGTTTCTTGACAGTCTTAATCATATTTAAATTCACCTCAATATATTGGTATAGGTTGATCAATTTACAGATGTCTAGATAGAAGCAGCTTGAAGACTAAATTCCTCTGCTGCAAAAGCCAAAAGATAAGCCCCTCTTAGAGGAATTTGAGCTGACTTTAGTCCTCTAAAATGAGGAGATGATAGAAGCCAATCGAAATACACTATTTCAGATGTTATTAAAGTCAAATTAAGTCAGTACTGTGTGTCATGACACACTGCTGGTTAGAAAAGCATTAAGAAACAAATATAGATGCTTGATACAAATTCTCACATACCTCATCCCATCAACGGATTTTTCATCTCCACCATGCCTGGCAATATGGCATCATTGCTGCTAAATGATGGTGACTGTTGCCAACATAAAAAGTAAGTTAAAACCAGAAACAAATCTTAGCATCTCCCATTCCTGATTATTTTTCTAAACAGAGCTTATTTACAAAATCTTTGAAATCTAGTTAATGCAATTTTCTAAAACTTCCACTTTTATACTATAGCCTTCAAAGTAGATCTGTGTATTAGGAGTCTGACAGCAGTAGCCATCTGAGGGGTCATGAAAACTACAGAAAGCATTTCTGTTGGGGGGAAAAAAAAAAAAAGAGGGATAAAAACTTTCCATTTGTTCACAGCTTCTTCAGAAATACTCTTTTTGGAACTTTCCATTCTTCATCTCTTCTGAAGGTGATTTTCTTTTTAGGCTGTCAGCAATATGTGGAAACTTTTTAACATAAGTGCAAAATGCCTTAAATTATGAAAATTGTATGACTAATTAGTGAGTAAAAAGTTTCTGTATTAATTTGATACACAGATTATTATGCAAGATAAAAATATTCAGTGGAGTTGCCATTTACTGTGTTAGTCTTAGAACAGAGCAGTCTTTGAAATGTAATGACCACATTAAAAATCAGGTAGTTTTTAAAGGGCTCAAACACATGATTTTGTTTATTATTGAAGGAAGTACTCTCAAAGAAGACAGGCAGTTAAAATGAGTACGCCAGTGCAAAATATACTGGGAAATGACAATACAATCTCATATGAAAGACAATAGTGCAAAATAACCATATTAGATTCTGAGTTTTGTATACAAATACTCGATTAACAAACTTCACACCACTCACAAAAGGCAATAACTTCACAGAAAATTATCATAAAAGCATAGTATTGATACTGACTTTTTTTTTTTTTTTCTTGCATTCTCCGTATAATGCTTGGGAAGTATGAGAACAGGTGTGAAAATAACAGTACAGAAATTGCCAGTGCATAAGCCATTCAGATGGCTCCATTCTCTCAAAGATAATGAACATAGAGCTTGATTCAGGTTCACACTGCAGTTCTTTTGTACCTCCAGGATAAAGTGTAGGAGATGATAGTCTACTTTAGAGCCTGTTTTGGAGAAGAATGGTATGAAACAGCTTTAATATTAATGAGAATTAGCTTAGTACTTTTAAAAGTAGGATGTGAATGTAACCACTTTTTTATTATGATGAAAATACATTCTGTACAAATATCAGCAAAACACATCTGAAAATAGAGACAGGGTGATTAATCCATCTTTTTAAAATAAATACATATAATATTTACATTTTGGACAGTTCCAGAAATTAACATGTCCAGATTATGTACCACTACCTAAACCAATTCTCTATTGTTATAGAAAATGCATTTTCTGTACAAATATTTATAAATACATATGTATAAACTTCTTCAGTTAAATGTCTGTGGATTCAATGAAAAGAAAAAGCATGAGATATTCTTACTATTAGCTAACGTTTAGCTATCAAGTGTCCACATATTAAACAGTTTATAGCATTATACATCAGACAGAAGTAGATTTTCGGTGTTGAGAATATTTTGTGCTCCGCTTCTGTGCCATCATACTGGTAAATCTGATTGTATTTTCTGAAAATCTGCAGAAGAGCAGCAGGGCTGAATCAGTTTGACTCACTGATTGTTATTGACTGCACCATGTCAGACAGGGTTTCTCGATCTACTTCTTCTTTACCATTATCTGAATTTTCTGATGAGATGTAACAGCCAGAATCTCTTGGGCAGTCATTTAACTGTGATTTGTCAAAGCCATGGTGAGGGCTTAAGCTCTGTGTCTCCTGACCACCTTCACTTTTCTGCTGTTGTTCAACTAGAAAGAACAGAAAGAGAAAGAAAAAAATTGTCAAAATAAGTATCCTGGGAAAGAGCTAGAGATAGCAACATGACTGATCCTGAGGAACTGTAGAAACAGCGCTGGTAACGTACACGACTAGATCAATATCTTTTGTCTATCAGAAGCAGAAACCTCAGCATCAAAGAACTAAAAATATGATTCCATGAGTGTGACAACATCTAAGTTGATGTTGAGGTTGACTTTGATCCTGCAGTATGTCGCTCAAAGATGAGTGTCAGAGACCTTGGCCTCATTCTTTAGGCTGTCCACAGGTGCAACAGTCACTGTAAGTGGTCACCATGCCCGCAGTAGAGGTTTTCCCCACCCACATTCATGTATTCCAGAGCTCGCTCATGCAATTAATCATGCAGCCTACTGTGCCTTGTTTATAACACACAGCATTATAGATGTTGTCTCTTTTGAATGTAACCCCTGCTTTTTACCTACTCTGTGTACTGTGTAGTGATATATAACATGTGGGTCTTCAGAAGTGCTTAGCATAAAGATGTGGCAATCAGGTTTTCTAAAGCACTGGGCTTTTCAGTGGGAGTGGGTGGCTGATGGAAACTTCCTAAGCTTAGCTTGATGTCCAAAGGGTTATTTTCCAAAACACAGAAGCCTCAGAGAAAGATAAGATGCCTAACTCCTGCTGTATGGTTTTTGAACACTGTTCCAAAACTAAGTGGAAGCAAACTATCTTGCAAAATAACTTGTCCTTGTTTAGTTGCTGTATGACTAATCCGGTCAAACTTAAAAATTTGCAACTCGGTGAGAATATTGACAGATGTCTCAAAAAAACCTCAACAAGCTGCTGCCTTGCAGACAGGATATACCTGTATGTCATGAATCTAATGTATCTTGCGGTTAAAGTTTGTGTTCATATTTTCTGGCTGTGAAATACATGTTTATTCACAGTAAATTTCTTGAGCAAACAAGCTAAGAAATATAAAAAACTTTCCCTTTCTTACTTTTTTTTGTTGTTGTTATCGCCCTCCTGTAACAGTATTTTTACTTCAGGCTGTGGCTTGCTTTCCAAACAAAATATAAGGAACAAATCTCACAGGAAACAGATGGTTTTACCCCAGATTTTAGCCCTTCAGAAAAATGGTACCTTTTTGTTTTTGCAAAGAAAGCTCCCTTATCTCACTTGACTTGTTATTCCATGGTTAAACAGTTAGCTTAGAATCTTTAGATAGATTTAAGCTGTCTCAATTCAAGTCCGGGCAGAATGGAAGTCCTAATACATGAAGGATTTTATCCTCCATTAGAATCTAAATTTATCTCCCAGAATTATAAAATTTCTACAAGGAAAATCCATACTGACATTTGTTTCAGTTGTAAGTTATAAAATTTGGTAAGATGGGAAAGATTTTACATTTAGATTTTTTTTTAAATCTTGTGTTGTATAACAAAGAATAAATTAGAAATTAAAAATTGAAATGTTTCACTCTGAAAATACTGAAATAGAACAGCAGGAGAGTCAATACTTTGTTGTGTAATATTTCAACAATCTTATTTCACAAAGCATTTTGATACATTGAGAAACATTTTTAGGTCTTGGTGGAAGTCTTGTAGATTTGTTTGTACAGTTTAATTCTGTTTAATACTTTCTAACTTTCAATTGTATAATTAAGTTAATAAACTAATCTGATTTTTGAAGAAAACAATCCAAAATCTTAACTTAGTCATGTTTGCATTAAGCCTGAGGTTCTAGGCATAACCTGATATATTTAAGAAAAAAAAAAAAAAGATTACTTTAAATACTTTCCGAGGAATAGAAGTTCCACCTTGTTCCCAAATAAATGAATGGTTATTGCACTTGCGTTAAAGAGTACACCTTTCAGCAGATTTAATTGATACCTGTAACTGTTTGATCTCCTTCTCACCTTACAGAACATAGTTTGTCATGTCAAATGTTATCTCTCTTTGCAGGGAAAATATTTGATCACATAGGGTCCAATTGATTTCTGGCTTCAGTCAGGAAGGAATTACAAAAGGCATTACACCAGTGAAGGTATTACTGCTGCTATTAGTAGCACCAGATGTAGTTGAGCACAAAGAACAGCAGATGCCCCAGTAAAGCCTTGTCTAAACCGCGCCATTAGCTCCTCGCACCCATCCCACCGGCACCAAGACGACCCAGGCATCGGCCGCTGTGGGCTGGCAGAGCTTGGCCGGCGGCTGGGTGAAGTTGTCCTGCGTGGCCGCAGGCAGGGCTCCCCCGCCCTCCCCTTGTCAGCCTCCTTCTGCTTGCTGGTACTTCTGTCAGCTTCTCTGGCATCATCTGCTGCCCTAGCAAGCAGTGACCTAAAAAAGGTGCTAATCCTGTTTACATTTTCAAGGTCAAAGAGGAACCTCCATCCACTTTGTTTGGTTTACAGTGGAAAGAAGACCAAGTATCTAGTGGATTAAAAAGAAAATTCAGTTTCTGACAGTGCATCAATACCCTGTAACCAGTTGTGATAATCTGAGTAGTTCCTATGTGAAAAACAGATCCCAAATTATCTTCTAGTGATTTCTTTCCCTCATGTGTTTCAGGGAAAAAGGCAGAGGCAAGCCTGGAACTGAGATTTTTTAAAAAAATCTGAGTTTAGGTCAGTTAGGAGAATAAGAATTTTCTATTTAAGAAACATACAGAAATGTAAAACTTCTGTCTCGTTCTATAACACTTGAAAAATTTTTTACACAAAAACTGAAAACCAAAATTATTCAGGTGTTTGAGAGAGTAAAAATATTATAAGTTCTATTTTTCATCTTGAGTAGAAGCTGTTGAAGAACACCCCCCCATATTTAAGAAGAAAAGACTAAGAGCAAACTTTGGTAGTTTGTTTTGTTGTTTTTTTTTTTTTTTTTCTCTTTAAAGCAGCCTTAAATACCATACAGTAGCTACTAAACCACTTGAACAGGATGCTGAGTATTAGAGTATTATAAATATATGTAGCATACAGCTTTAGATGTTGCTTCACAAAAAAAGAAACTATGCTTTTTTTTTCCTTCTTAGCTTTTGACTCTTACATTCAGTTCTACTTAATTCCTTCCTCCAGCACGTACACATTCATGTTCCACATTAGTAAAGGTAAGTTTGCTGTCTTAATCTTCTAGACATCAGAAGAAAGATACAATGCACAGGAAACAGGAATTGATAAAATTAAACTGCTGTTAGATGTTGCAGAATAATCAGAAATAACTATCTTATCAACAAATGGAAGTCCTATCATTTTTCTACAGTAAAGCAGTTTCATATAAGATAAATAGCTTTCAGTCACTGTTGTCTATGATATGGCCAGAAGAGTCCAAGATACAGATCATTTTGACACATATATTCTAATAGGACTTTAGACGGTAGGATTATATTCAGACTTCTGAAAAAAATGTGAGGCCTTTAGCCTTGGTAGTAGATGTGTGATGCATACTTATCTTCCGCGCTATTTAGATCTTTGAAATGAATATTTGTTATTCAATGACATAGATGTGCACGACACATGCAGGGATAGATGTCTTTTTTCCTTCACCAGCTTTTTAATGAGTTTAAAGTCCTGATTAGGAAAGCACTTTAAGCTTAGCTTTAAGGCAATTCAGCTCAAGAATGTACAGAGGTCACGCTGACTCCTGTGCAGTTATGACAATTTAAGCCAGATGAGCGGCAGGAGTCTTGGAGTTTGTCTTGGAAGAAAAGAAGGTCATCCAGCAGCAGGCCATACTTCATGGGTGTGCCCTCTGAGAGTTTGCCTTCATGAGCTCTGCCCAGAAGAAGAACTGGGCTAGGAGCACGATGCTTTAGGCTGAGTCACTTGCGTGCCTTCCTGGAAGGCGCAGCAGTGACATACTGAGCAGCACCATGCAATAATTAAATACAACAGTGTGTCTTCAAGGCTGAAGTTAGACCTCCTAAGTACGTATGAGGGTCATATATCAACCTGTAGTGCCTGTACTAGTTAGACCACCTAAGTATTTAAAAGAAATGAAAACTCACGAAGCATCAAACTCAGAAAGGATCATTTTGAAGAAGTAAATGGTGATACTTCTCGAAAAAGAAGCAGAGAAACCTGAAGTGGTTCTGTACACACATGCAATACTCTCAGGACTCAAAGGAGTAAGCCTTTTGTGGATATTTACAGACATGAAACTTTAAAAATTGCACTTACTGAAGCCAGTGGCATGGCTTTTCTGGGAGGGATACTGAACTGATGTGAGAGGAGAGTTTATAGTGAAAACAGAAATGAGAAGCTTCTTTTATCTCTAAAATCTGGAAGCAAACATATATGCCTGAAAAAAGGTGAAATATACTAATGCTCATTCAAGGATGAGTTTCTTTGGGAAATATGGAAATATTATGTTCAGATCAATGAGTTGTACCACAGTACAGGATAGGAGATTGTCTTTGAGCACTATTTGACCTTGACATGGTAATGTGTAATCCCATGTACTTAAAGGGACTACCCAGTGTAAAATGGTACTCTTGATGCTGGGTCCTCACAAACGGAATGCAACTGAGAACTGAAAGTGGTGCCCTCAGCTATCTATGATCTCGCTGTCCAAGTACAATAAATGAGAAGCAAACATTACCTGGTACTGGTAGTGAGGTTGAGAGTATGATCTGGCACTTAAATATGAAAAGTAATCTAAGAAAGTGGATTTGGGAAGATAAGCATAAAATATCCCCCAAACTGAACATATGCAACTTTTTTTTTTTTTCTTTTTCCTATAAAATGAACTGTATGCACATATCCAATGAAGTCTAATTCTTCTTTAACTCAGAATAGCTTCAGACTAATGTAACCCACTGGACATCAGGAATAAACCTCTTGACTTACATCATCTAAGGGAGAAGAAAATCAAGGCTATTTTGCACACACAAAAACGTTTGTCCTGGGAAGCGGTCAAGAAGAAAGTTCCAAACTTCTTTTATTACTTTATTCATTAACCATCCAGTAACTGCTTCACTTTAAAAATAGCATCCTACAAAAGCACAGACATCCATCTCCTGTCTAGAAGCCATCTGGGAGAAGAATGGAAAGCTATTAAGAAATCCTTTATGAAAAAGAGCCTTTTTTTTTCCTCCCCAGCCATGAATTCATGGAAACCAATTATTTTGTCCCAAATATATAGGTCTGATCAACTTATAGAAAATCTAAAAAGAGATCTAGGAAGGGGGGGAAGGTCCTGAGGAGCTTACAGGACCTTGCAGTTCTAGGATAGCCTTCCTACATGAAGTACTTGAAGATGGTGAATTTGGGCCTAGACTCCCAGGAAATGTAGACGGAATATACTGCAGTACCAGGAAGCAAAATCTGCTTTAAAAACCCCATTATGTGGTAGCATTTGCTAAATAAAATTTACTTTTTAATTCCTGGAATAAGAAGGGTACATTTTTTCCTTTCAAATTCATTCAGGTCTAAATCAAATATAAGATGAAAAAGTTCTCACTGCCAGACATCCTACATTTTGGACTGCTTTAAGAAGCATATAATGTGGAAACTATTTCTGCAGGTATTTTGGTTAGAAAACTCAGTAACTGTTTATTCTGCAACATGAATTATGTAGTCACAAGTATGCAGCATGAAGGAATCACTTAGTATAACATGCAATAAATTTCAAGAAAAAGCCAAGGAAAGAAAAAGAAATAAAAACTCCTGTAAAAACATCTGGACATTTCACAATATCAGATATCACATTAAAGAAATATTAAATCTTGTTTTATTACATTTATAGTAGAATCTAGTAAAATGAGACTATGTTCCAGCATACTTGGATGTTCTGAATAATGGCAGAGTCACAAAAACTCAGAAACCCTTGCATTTCAAGTCTGGACCATATCTGAGACTCCATCTATTAATCAGACCTATGCTTTATGGAAGCACAAATGTAATGCAAAGACATGGAAGTCTTCCAAGCTTTGTGAGAAAGATGGGCTTAGAACAGTAAGTATGGTATATATTTTCACACAAAGCTTATAAAACAAGTGAACTTTTACCTGGAAGAGTGCTGAACTTCTATCTAGAATACTCTTGACCAGTAAACAGATTACCTTGTAGCTGTGGGTAATCATGCTGCTCACTTCTAAGCAATGCAGAGAATCAATTTTAATTAAAAAATCATTTATGCTGGACTGAGTCATGCCCATTGAGGAAAAAAAAATATTGACCTAGGAAAGTTCAGTTCAGATGCAGAATTCACTTTCACAGTAGCACCTAGCTTTTTCAACCCAATTTTCCAATTGGATTGACAGAAGGACAAAGAAGTCAAATGATTTGGATGAAGTCAGACTCACTCTGAGCTTATCCTCAAGATCATCTTGACTCCCCATGTTTCGTTATAACGACTTAACAGATAGTTTCTATCAATTTTAGTCCTCAGTATCATCCTTTTTAGAGCAGGTTGTTAAATTCTGTTCTGTCCCTACCAGTCACGTGATGAAAGCTATGGACCTTTGACAACCAGTCAAGGCAAAGATTTGATTAATTCCTGATTCAGGACAGTATCCCAAACCAGGAAGTATTTATGCATGGCTTACCTTAAAATAGACATAAGTCTTATGAAACTAAACTAGATTTAAATGAACGCTCGTAGCTGACATGGTATATAAAGATGTCTTGGTTCTGGTCCCTGTGAGTATTCATAAATTCTGGGAATATTGTTCTATTTAATTTGAATACAAGGAAGATTGGCTATAACTCTCTAACACATATGAGAGGAAATATTAATGTAATCTCTTGATCTAAGATTACAGTGTCATCACTGATTTTGAAGCATAGGCCACTTTGTAAGATTTAATACTATTATTTCCAGAACCATTGCAAGAATTTGAACTATTAGACTACCCAAAAGATAACATCAGGGACACTGTTTTGCCTGGAGAACTGATTTAATCCCGTGCTGCCAATTAGGAAGTTCCTTATGTGGATAATTAAGGTAAATTTATTATTTTTCACTGTATGGGACATGTAGGGACCTTGTTAGGTTTGGTCCTTGCACAGGTATGTGTAGAATATTAAGTGTTTAGACACCTTAAGAAAAAGAAAAACTTGGTGTCATCTTCTAAAAAGGTTAGGTGTCAAGGCTGCTTGCTATGCTTTTTATTATACAGGGAATATAAATAGTAAACCATATCCTCACTATTCCAGCATAGTTTGACGATCACATGGTCTATTAAAAACCATTGGGTTTTGGTTTTTTTCACATTGATGCCAAACTGAAAAATGACAATCTAGCATTTTTTTTTTTTTTTTTTTTTTTGGATGTTAAATATTGATATAGAAAAATGTACACAATAAAAGGTGCAGAAAGCACAGCAAGGCTAGTTACCATGAAGTATACACAAATATACCTATACTCGCTTTAAGGGAAAACTACTTCTATATAGACAGCCCTTCAAGAGTCCTGTTCTAGCCTGTCATCTCACAAAGCTGTAGACTACTGAACCCGGTGGTCAAAGAAAACCCTTCTAATGCATTTCCAATGTGTTCACAAGAACCTTACCTTACCCTGGAACCTGACTAAGAGCAGGAAAGACTGCACATACAAATAGGCTCACAAAAAAGCCCAAACATACAGTAAAAAGCAAGGTCATCAAAGACTCAGAAATGGAGATTAGTGAACATCTGCAGGGAAAGCTGAATGAATGAGGTAGCCAAAGACATGCTTAGAAACCCAGAGAAATTTATGTGCTGAAGCACATAGGTTACATATGTACGTGCAGGTATGTGCCCTACATGTGTATATGTGCTGGAGTGAGAACTAAAAAGTTACCTACCTACCTACTGAGGAGATAAAAAGCGGACACCTGATGAGAACTGATACTAAAATATTCCAGGAAGGCATTGCTTTTCCAGGTTTCCTTTTTTTTTTCTTTCCTATGCTGCTCAATTGCAAGTGCACATTTGATGAAATGACTGCTCAGCATAGGGGTGAGTATGCGCAAATATTAACGAAGAAGAAAACATCTGTTTTGGCCGAGTGTCTAATTAAGTAGATGCTTAGCTGTAGTTTCTAGGAATTTGACATAAATTATTTTAAATTAGAAGTCAGGCTAGAAATATCATTAAAATGTCATGGGAACAGTGTTTTCTGTTCTGTGTCCTAGATTTTCCACTCCCACTAAAAGGAACAAGTGAAGAAAATATAGTGATGATTAGTACACATACATATACAAATATGCTATCATCAGCTTTCGGAAGCTCACGAGAAACTTGAGTCAGATTAATTTTGAGAAAAGAGTACAAATTAGCTATTAGTATATGTTTGGATTTTGGTTTGGTTTGGTTTGTTTTTTTAAAATAAAGTTCCTACAGAAGAAACTGATTTGGATAAGGATTTAAATGTGGGATGAAGTGAGGGAAGGAAAAACTACATTATTCTGCAGAATGTTGTTTAAAAAAATTTAAAAGAAGATTCTCTACTGTAGCTATTTTTGTTATGATACTAGCACAGTTCGGAATGTTTTATTTTTTGCTCTTGCACAGACCTTGTGACTTTTGGGAAGTCACTTAAACTCTCTGGGGGTTGGGTCCCCAACCATAAATAGGGTTGTTCTTAAGCAATAGTTGCTACCAATCTCTAGTGTAGAACCTATAAATAAGGAATTTTAAATCATTCATATGTTACTAGTATAATAATCATATACGTATCTAGAAGAGATGCACAGTGTGCTATCTGAACAAATAAGAAGACCATCTGACTCCATGTTTCATGTTTAAAAGAAAAATTATGTATTAGTTCAGTGTGAGAATCACTATTTCTTTAAATGTGTTTCTTCAGTTAAAACCTGCACATGACTCTTAACAAAGCTTAAACACTTACTGTCATAGTCCTGTAGATTTTCAATTGCTGATAACAATCTTGCCCTGTCTTCTGGGTTTGAAATATTTAATTCAATCAGGTGGCTCTCCTGTAGATCTTTTAAGTCCTCTAGAGTTTCATAGCCATTTAGCAAGAGAGTTGAGGCATATTCCTGCAAAAAGAAACAAGCAAATCTTCACATGTAAACAAGCACTATGTTTAGTAGAGGAATAGGCACAATTTCTTTTTTACTTTTCTGTCAGGTTGAAACGGGCTTCGTTCTCCAGTCTGGTTGACCTGCCTTTGGCATAAAACCAGAGCTGGAGAGCAAGAGAGGGCAGAGGCGGAGATGCCTGGGGGTCCTCCTGGCCATCCCAGCATCTGTGCCAGAGTTGTCCAAGAGTCTGGCAGCAAATTGGACCAGGACAGAGCTCTGCCAGAAATCATTTAATCTGCTGAGTGTCTGGACTTTTGTGGGTTACCACATGAGTGCCTCCCATGCTGGGTCCAGGAGGGTTTCTGAGGTAGGGTGTGCTCTGCCTTTACACAGAAGGAGCCCCTCAGTGCAAGAGAGGGTGAGAAGCTGAGGGAGCCCTCAGCTGTGCTGTGTCACACATGGTCCCCCTTGAGCTGTTTGTCGATGCAGTATGAAACCGCATACTCCAGGGAAAGGAGTGTTTGCATCAGCACCAAAGCCATAACCGTTATTAAAAATGTTACCTGTAAATCATGACCTAATTATGCTTTGTCTCTTAGTCAAGAGCTAGGGTTGCAGAAGGAGAGGTGCAACATGAGCATAGTGCAAAAAGAGTATCGCTCCCTAAAGATCACAAGAAATTAGAAACCCAGATTCTGAATGTTGGCACTGGAGTCAGGCTGCAGTCATGTCCCTGAAGTGTCCACAGTCACAGCCCTCCTACGCTTAGGCACACAACTGCAGTCAGTTTACGGTGACTTGACAAGTCACCACCGTACCTCTTTGCATGGAGTCTCTTAGCCTAACCAAATGATGTGGTAAAATGCAGTTCTATAAGCCAGTTACATCAGATAAAAGACAGACACAAAGCTGCTTTGCTTTGCTGACATCAAAACTGCTGAAACGTGCCTTTCTGTTTCTGCATTTGACTGTAAATGATATCCAAATCCAAGCACACAGAAACTGTTTCAAACACAGCTGGGAAACACATTGGCTGACCTGCAGGTGGACACAGTCCAGGAGCTCTTGCAACGTTTTAGGCTTGGTCCTTTTGCTTCCCCTGTGTGGCTTTATCTTTTTGGGTGCAGATTCCTCTTCCAATACAATATCCACATAAATGAACTTGAAGTTTCCTACTTTGTTGTTCAGCATGCCTGTCCATATGCCCATGGGGGTTTTACAGATGATATCTATAATGTCTCCTTTCTAGAACAATAAAAAAAAGCACACCACTGCTTACACATTTGGTTTCTTATATGTAGCTTTTCCTCTGTTGACCAAACCCAGCACAGACAGCACAGAATCTTAACTAGTCAATGTGAAATAACTTTTTTAAAATTTCCTAGATTTCGCTTCTTTGCTTTTATAAAATCCCAGCAAAATAATTACAGAAAATTGAGTTAGTCCTTATCTCCAAAACTTTGCAAAAGAGAGGTGAGAGTAACCAGCCCCTCTCACTATTTTTGTGCTCCATTTGGTCCCTAAAAAGGGCTAGGGTTACATCAGCAATCAACTTTTTCCATGGATAGTGGTCATAGCTTTGGCAAAAAGCAAGGGAGCACTGTGAGGTTATTCTCCAAATATTTGCCAAACCATTTACACGATAATCTTATTATCCAGCATCTCAAGGGGCTTCAAAAACTGATAGCTGATCTATGTGAAAGGTGGACTCTTACCCATTTTACAGCTAGAAACACTGGCTACATTTCTCAAAGGCAATAAAGAACATTTAACTCTCTTGATATTTTCCTGTCTGTCCTTCCCAAAGGACTGACAAATTTTTCCACTGTTATTAATACAATTGACTGAGAAAATAGTGGAAGGTGCCTTAGCAGACAGATCTAAAGGCTTCAGCTCTCCACACCTGTACATTCACTCACAAATGTGAGTGCAAAAAAGTGACAACACAGCTACTTTAAGAGGGCTTTTTAGTAAAGGTGTTCACAGCTATTCTGTGGGAACCAAGGTCTCAGCTCAGTGAAACAGTCACTCTGAGTAATTCTCGTAGTAAAAAAAGCTTCCTTGTAAGTCATACCCCCCTACACAACTTGCTCCCATGACCTCAGAATGAGTCCTCTCTTCTGGACAGGTACCACAGAACTTATAAAAATGCTGAAAAGTCTTTAAAGAGCTACCAAATAAATCCCCACGTACACACTTCATTTGGCATTCTGCTACAAAGTTAAAAACCAAACTCAATTTGTTAAAATACCTGATAATAACTCCAAGACTTTAGAATCTTTTCAGGTCTGGTCAAGAAAGCAAGTAAAGTGGTCACCTTAGTTTTGGTACAAACCCAAGTATGCAATTGAATGTGTTCCAGTGACCTGGTTTTACTAGAATATGGATTTCAGAGCTATGAGCATGTTTGAAATGGAAACTAAACAAACATTTGTTTAAAGCTCTATAAGCACACATATTATTCTACACACTCACAGAAGCTCAGGAATTTCAGATGTGGATGCAGATCAGGATTAGGCAGTGGCTCTGAGCCAAACTGCAGATACACTTTGAATTCAGATTCAGAGTACTGAATTTTTTTGAGATAAATTTAGGGGATTTCAACCCTAAGTATTAGTTTATAATTCTAAATTCACCACCCCAGTAACTAAAAAAGGAGCCTGTGTAAGCCAGCAACCTTTTGCCATTCTGTGACCAGTTAAACTATTTTGAAAGAAATGACCTAGGTGTGGGTGGAAGTGGAGAGAAAGTGGTGAAGACTGCAAGTGCTGGCAGAGCAATGACTGTAGTGTAGGCCAGGAAGGAGGAGAGAGAGACTTCAGTGAGATACAAATGAAGAATTTGACAAAAAGAAGAGGTTGTGAAGAAGAAGAAAAGATGCTGGAGTGTGAATATAATCTGGATATGAACATGATTACAAGGAGGGAAAAAGAAAGAAGTCCAGATTACAGACATGAGTAGGCTGAAGGATGATGATATTGAATGTATCTGTGCATGGAAGGAGAAGGAAAGAGCTGGTATTTTTCAGTAATGTTCAACTGGGCCTACGTGTGGAGCTTTTTCTCACTCACACAGCCTGGACACCTCTGCCATGTTGTCAGTGCCAGAGAAAATCCATAGTTCAAAGGTATGCTTGAAGAAAAACTCAATGGAAAGTTAAGCTGTTTTCACTAAAGACAACGGGTGCCACTGAGCTTTTGATATACCCTAGTTGTGACTGAAAAAGCTGGGGGGGCAACTTGGCATCCCATGAAACTCAAGTTTTTCTTACTCCAGGCCTAGTGTGTGGGAAGCAACAGGTATTTTACTCTGAGGAAATCTGTAGTATCCCATGAGGATACTACAATGAGGTATCTACCTAGAGTCTATGACTTTAGCAGCAGTTGGCTTTGCAGCATTGTCTGAACTAAGTCCTTATAGTAGCATTGCAAAAACAGATTGGCCTTCCTTTTAGAATGTTACACATGCTTAACAGTTAAAAATGCATTAGTAAACGTATTCTTCACGTGTAAGAAATGCCCCCCTGGTACTCTTACTGGAAAAGAAGAAATCATTCTGATTGTCTTACCTTGATTTTCAGGGAATCGGTGTCATAAGGACTTGGTGTGAAGTCAGTGTGAACTTTGGCTCGACCGCAGAAGGGCCCGTTGTAAGGGACTTCATCATCAAACCGCAGGCTGTCCCTGTTGCTTGTTCCATCTGAGCAGCTGGTCACCCCACCTAAAAGAAAGTCAAGTTGAGAGATCTCCTGCACCAAATGCCCAGACATGCAATTCTGCACAGCAGACAAGAGGAAAGTGTTCAAAAGCACAGAATTAGAGGAAGAGTGTACTCTGTGTGGTTTTGACACATTCCAGGAAAAATTCATTCAATAAAAAGCGTACTACAAGAGACCAAAGAAAATAGGTAGGAGATCTTTCACTAACATCTTCCCTACAATAATGCTTTTCAGATGATGATACTAATAGACTACACATTTTACTTACAGAGTTTTTGAAATATTACCTCTGCAGATTAATAAAATGTACTCTAAAAGTGCAATTTAGGGAATTAATTCTGCTGAACTTCTCCTGTTTATTCAGAGAAATGAAAACAAGTACTGTAGAAGTTATTTTATTTCATTACAGTGCTAGCTGAAACATCAAAGGAGCCTGCATTGCAGAGGGAAATTTTAATCTTATCAACATTTCTGCCTGTCATTTTGTCCAAGTTGAGCAATAAAATATCGGCAGAGTAATTCAAGCAAATTTGAGCAAGCTCTGCAATATCCCATCCAAATACATTTTTAGATAAGAGCAGCAGTGTGTTGGAAGTAAACTCCCATATAAAATTTTCACAAATCACATCATAGAAAATGATCATAAAAATGGTTTTGTTTGAGGTGATTGCTTAAGTGCTCAGCTCCATTTCAGGGCTAGATTAAATACTAAGTGCAAACGGTCAGGACTGCAGCTTGACTCCCCACTTAGGGCTCACACGGTGCCTGCAGTGATGGCCCACCAACATCATCATGGACAGCTGTGGCTTTCTGCCCAGAAAATGTCCACAGCAGAGCAAAGGATAGAGAGGTGGAATCAAACACCGCTTCTCATTTGAGATACATCTGCCCCCTGACTGCAACTACCCTGTTGGGTGAAGGTTTTCAGTGGGTTTGTGGAGAAGCAGACCGTGACTCTCTACAACATGACCTGAAGCCACCAGGTCAGACCCCCATCATCTCAGAGAGACCTCTCACTTTGTCTCACTCACATCTGCAGGGTGAAGGATGAACTCACAGTCACTACCCCCCAAGAGGATGCTTGTGTGTCTGCACCCACTGATTGCAACCCTATGGGTGCCAGCACCATAGCAATGATAACCCCCCCAAAATCATCTATGGCATGTATACCAGCAACATCCCCTATAATCTATGTTATTTTTTTTTACTTTAGTTAGTATTTCCACTCTTAAAAACACTCAGCTTATTTCTGGAGAGGTATATCTACCCTAGCTGCCACCTATTTCATCAAATTACTCTTTTGTCTGCCAGACTGAAGATCCCTCTACTATCACATTTTTGATCGCGAGCTCTGATACCTCAGACTTAAACAATAAAAATATTGATCCAGTGACTGAATAAGAACCCTGGATATCTTGTACTTACTAGATGAGCTCTGGCCACTGTTCAAACTATAGAGACTTTCCATAGAGTCACTGGCTTTTAGGGAGACCTTCTCAGTGTGTATTCCACCACCAGGATCACTGTCATCTTTTCCTTCTTCATTCTTTAACACAAAAATTAGATGTTAACAACCAAAGGATGTAGTTTAGAGAAACATTTGGTTTTTTTCTTTTAAATCATAATTGGAGATTAACTCATCGTTACACTTCATTAAGAACCACTCTATGAAAGAAGGCATTTTAGAAGTTGATGCCTGATACTAAGGATGCCCAGCACCACCCCTAGCACCTTATGATCTCGGAGAGATCTTCTGTTTCCTCTCTGCTCCACTCACTTCAGTCCACTCTTGCTCAAGTAGCTAAACTGATTCTCTATCTCAGAAGACTGCGGTATCTCACAGCAGCAACACAGGATTGTAATGGGAAATTTGCAGGTAGGCAGACAAGGTATTTTTTCTGATTGTCTCAGAGGAGGAAATATAGTTTAATTCTGAAAGAACATGGTGAAGTGCCAGATGATGCTGTGTTTTGCACTGAACTTCTGAAAATCACGGGCGCTTGGCGGCAGGCTGGTACCCGAGCCAGGGTGTTCTGGAGACAGCTTGCACACATGTACAGCATCCGTGTGTTCTAGCACCATGCTCACCATATTGCCCAATCTACACATTGGCCGCAAAATCCAGTCCATTTCAGAATTAACAGATGCATGTTTCTCTCACAAAATCTAATGGTGTATGAAATTGGCCCCTTGAGTTTATAACATTAAATCACACCTCAGGAATCACAGCCTATTCAAAACAGTAAGATTCATATTTCAATCACAGGTAAGTTAGGGACAATGTAACAACTAAATGAAATAATGATGAGCTTTCAAAGGAAGGAATTTCTTCATCAGATTTCATCACATTGTCAATGTGCGTGATATTCTGATGTAACTGAAACATCCTGCAGTACTGAGGATGTTACGTTATGTTTGAGGAAGTCAAGCAAAGATGACAGTGCATGTATGAACTAGAAACCATAGGGGTATGTATAAGGCATAGCATTCAAATGAAAGACTATATTGGTTTTCAACTAGGACAGTGCTTGTTACACCAATCAGCAGCATAACCCATAGATTAATCAATGGGCCGGTATTGATTGTCATCATCTCCTGCAGGAATGAAGATTATGCTACCTGTGTGTCCAGTCAGATAATTCATTGAATTTCTGTCGTGTGAATCATTGCTGTAAATGTGCAGAAGGTAAATGGTGAAATTTTGATTTTTCTTTCTTATATTATAAACTTCATAGATTTCAACCTCTTGAATTATAACAAAAATTGAAAAGTAAACTAATGAAATAGGAATCCTTGTCTTTGACCTCCAAAAACTGTATAAAGGTATCCTGTGAAACACTATTTTCTACTTGTGAAGCTTCTTATTTTCCCTACTTATTTGATATTGACATATGTGAGATAGGATGCAGACTAGTTAGATTTTTTTAGGATGATTAAGTATGACAAGTCCTTTGTCCTTATGGTTTTTAAAATTTGGAACTCACTGACACAACATATTGAGAAAACAGGGTTTGCAGTGTGTGAAACATAGGTTTTTTATGTTTAGTAAAGATAGGTTCACTAAGATTAGATAAGGTAAAAGCAGATAAGGCATACAAGTTGTCATGCTCTAGGATGCTGGATGACTTCTACAAAATGGACTTCGGAAATAATTCTTGTATTGAAAGATAAATTCTTCTAATGAAGCATTTTGTACAGGGTGAGTATCAGACTGATGACAGGGTTCATCCAGTACTCCCTTGTGTCCACATCATAGAACCACAGACTCATAGAATTGTTTGGGTTGGAAGGGACCTTGAAGATCACCTAGTTCCAACCCCCTGATGCAGACAGGATCCAATCAGGAGATTTTTTTGGTGATGCTTATACAAATGCTCCTTGATGGCAAAGCAAAATTCAATTATGTGAAACTCTTGTGCCTATCTTGGGCCCTTCATGTGTGATGCTTTAATTGTATATGTGCATGTGTGTGTACATGAGCATGCACGTGAAAGAAAGGGTACATACTAAAAGCCATTTTAATTCAGTATGTGTTACCATGTTTTTATGGATTGTCATAAGTGATGACAATTGAAACATGAACAGGAAAAATGCATGTAACATTTTTACTTCACATGTTTTACCATTAAACACAAGATTCTTAAGCTCTATTTACCATCTCCTCAGAAAGTGCCTTGATGTACTTTTTACCCATCTTTTTCCTCATGGTAAGGGAAATGGCTCTCATCTTCTTACTCAAACTTCCTCCATTATTTGCTGCTTTAGTTTGTACTGCATCTCCAATGTCACTTATAGTCTCCAACTCAGATATCTGATTTGAAATAAAAAAGTAATCAACAACCCACCATGAAAATTAAATTTGGTGTAGTGTAATAGGAATTACAGAAAAATATTAAGGACGCCAATGCAGTTAGGATGACAAAAGTCAGTCATAGCCATTTTCCCGGGGAATCACATACCCAAACAGGTTTGCAGTACACCACTGTATGTGTGAATGACAGAAAGAAAATATATTTTATTCTAGAAAATATTGTTTCCCATTGTTTATTGTCCTTAGTCCAAACAAGAATTGAGGGGATTTATGCAGGTTCTTGAAAACAAAAATGACACATCTGTCTGTTGCTTGCACATGCCGATTACTTTGGGCATGCACCAACCTGAAGTGGACTTTTGTCTTTTTGAAAAATTGTTTATAATCTTTCCATCAAAGTACCAAAGTTTAGGTGTGATTCTCTTGTTCATTTTGGCAAGGGCTCAATGACCCAGACACATCCAGGTTCACAAGCAAAGTTCTCACCAGTGTAAAATTTACATAATTGTTTCCCAATGTTTTTGTGTAACTGTCGTGGGAAAATGAACTGAAGAAAGTAAAACTCTGTGTTATACAGACCTCAGCTGAATCATCTGTCTTTGATATCGAGTGATGCCTAAAACGGTCAAAGCTTCCAAAGCTGCTTGTGCGCTGTAAAAAAAAGAGAAGGCAAACCTTTACTCACTGATGCTGTTTTGTTCTGTTACTAAGACTTAAATATAACTGCTAAGTCATCTGTTCCTCCCAGGTGAGTGGACCATGAACTGCTACATCCAGCTAGAAACAAGCTAGGAGGTAACTATATGACAAAAAAATTGTGACTGTGCAGCCAGAAGCAGAAGAATGAATAAGAGAACCAATGCTCCTTCAAATACTAACTAGATCACGGATATGATTGAGTTCTGCATCAGTTTCACATTCATTATACACAGATATCTATGAGCTACTTCTAGGTAAGATTGCTGTCTGTGAACTTAGAAAAAAAGGTTTTTCTGTAAATATTCTATGAGCTATAGAGTTGGTTGTGATGGTGTCAACTGCAGCAATTTATACAGTTTACTTTTGCAGCTGGTGCGACTGTTTTCATTTCTTTACCAACAGGAATCAACAAGGACTGCTGAAGATTATGAATACATTTTTCCCAAAAGGTATGTGTTGCAGAGAAGTAATAGAATAATAAGGTGTGCCCCGTGTTTTTATTCCCAATCCTCCAATTTGAAAATCTGATTTTAAAATGTACATGAGTACAGTTTTGCCTTGTGCCACAGCACATAAGAAAAGCTGCATCACCTGGCCTGTGCATTAACAGACGGTGAACGGATTGCTTTTACCTCCTTCTAATTTTGACCCTTTCTGTGTGTGGATAATTGACATGGTAAGGAGGGAAGTGGCACAGCATATTTTTGCAAGAGAGGTCACACAGAAATACCTGCCAGACATGCCCAGGCAAAATTGTCTAACACTGCATTGCCCGTGGTGGAAAACTGCATAAAATTGACATTAATGTCAACTCAGAAGTCCCTTTGAGTGTGGCCCTAATAACAGCCAGAATTCAGACATTTATCAATGCTGCAGTGTGTTTAAGAGCTTGTTTTTATATCTTCACAAATACTCAAAGCTAAATCCAAAACAACTCCTTTTTCAAAAGTTCTTCACTCTTCCATACTAAATGAAACTCTTTTAATGCAGTGTCAGATTTCTTGAAGCAGGGTTTACCGGTATATACTATGCAGTATCATCTCAGTATATTTCTGAGTATTCAAAATCCCCCCTGGAGGGACAAAACCACATAAGTGATTTCAGACTACCTGGTTACAGATTTTCCTGTATTTATTCATCCATTTACCTTGCCCATGCGAGTTCACCCAAATCCAGTTCCTTGCTCCATTGCTTTCTTCCCCCCCAAGCCACACAAGCCATCTTTTCACCTGCCCCCAGGTTTCTAAAGCACAATTCGTGCCCCCTTTCCTTGGCATCTCCTTTTGCTCTCCATCCGGGAATGCTACAAGCCTCAAAGTGCCTGCGAGCTCTTAGCTCTGCTCTACCATTACGGCTTTCCAATCTTCTCTGCCAGGGAAGATTTTTCACAAGGTAGCCTCAGAGGTAACTGCAGTGACTATTCTACGGGCAACAAAAGATGAGGAGAAAAGGACTGGTTTAATAGCTGGTCCCTTTGCCTGCCTTTGCACGTCAAACACACTTAATGCCGGCATGAACCTGATTCCTGAGAAGCCAAGGCACAATCTCTGGGTAAGAGGAGCAGAACTGCCCAAAGACGGGGCACTGCTGGGAACACTGCCCTTGCTGCTCCCGTCCTCCAGTGCCCTGCTTAATTTCCTGTTTAATTTCCCTGTTTTCCCACACTTATTTATTAACCAGCTCTGTCCCCTCTCCCCCTTCCCCCCTCCAAAAAAAAAAGTATTTGGACATAGCAGTGGGAGAGGCCTGAGCACAGCCAGATGTAAGAGGAAAGTGTACCCACATTTTAGGTCCATCTTCTAAGCACTGCAGTTTAAGAGAAAAAGAAATTTTTTTCACTACATTTCTGGGCACATCAAACCTGAAAAATATTTCCTGTCAAAGGTTATTTAAAGAAGCTGACCCATATCTGTGAGTATTTTTGGACATGTAAAATGACATTAGTCTTTGCTGAGGGGGGAAAAAAAAAAAAAAGAAAAGAAAAAAAATCACACAGCTCTCCTTAATTGATTGTAATCTCTCAGAAAATCTCTATTGGCAAAACACTGTGGCCTATTTGTTTGTTTTTACCTTGTGAAATTGAAAAGGACAATTTGGATTGTCCATTTTAATTTTATCTAAAATTCCCATAAAGAACTTTGCTATTAAGTGGATGGACAATATCCTGTGACAAGGGTTTAGCTCAATAGTATGATACAAAAAAACAGCCCCAAGGATTATGGTTCTAATAGAGAGGATTAACACCTTTCACTGGCTTGTCAACCCAGCCAAATGTGCCCTGCAGCATGGAGCAGGAGGGATAGAAAGAGGGAGGCTGGGATTCACAGCAATATTGGGAAAGTATAAAATGGCCTCACACAGCACTCTCTCAACATACACCGACCTTTCTGTTGCATTCAATCACTCCAAGATGTCTAGTAGGAATAACTGTATATTAAAGTGCAGATGTGCTGCAAATACTTTAAAAGGAACAAGAGGAAAACCATTGTTTATTATTGGTCTTACCTATAAACAGCTTGAGCACAGGGAAATCAGTTATTCTTTTCCGACCCTTGAAACAACCTTATATCCTACATGTGCAGAAGCCTTGGGCTATTTTGTAGTGTACTTCAATGTTGCTTCATCCCTATTAAATATTAATAAGGGTTACAGGATGATTTCCACTATTCTAGATAATGGTCTTGTTGCACTGGAGAGCACTAAATAAGGCTGCTTCAGCAATTCTCTATACTAACTTTTTCCATTAAGTAATCAATAGCTACCACCTTTTAAAAATGTATTCAACCCCATTATACTGATAACGAAAAGCAGATTTAGGAGCTCTGGGCTGCAAAGGGAACAGGACTATTACTTTCAGTAGTGTCAGTCACTGCATTAGTGTCAGGGAACACCTACTTTGTGAAGATACGGACAGGCCTTATTTCCAGGTGAAGGGAAGCTTTTAAAGTAAATGCAAAGCTACTAGGAGAAAATATGCTATTGACTTTTGATACCAGGATTCAGCATCCTGTAAAGTTAAGTAATTTTTCTGGCTGGATTCATATAAGAGCTGACAATAGATATGTTAAACAAATATGAATTTTTCTCAGGAAAATATAATGGAGGCACGGGCAGGGGAGAAACACTTTTATTTTCCCACACAAGGATGGATCAAATAATTTCTACAAATCAATTAATTAACTGTCGTCCTTTCCCCTTCAGTATAACAAATTAGAATAATAGAAAATATCAAGTATACTTTTCAGTATTTTAAATCCTTCTTCCATCTTTTCCAATATCTTCAATTTCCCTGAAATTCAGGAAGTTTAAATAATAATTTTAAAGGGATAAGTGTTTTGTAATTGCTGTTCAAGTTGGACAGTCTGCAGTTGATGATCTGGTTTGTCTGTAAATCACCCGTCATTTTCCCCAGAAAATGATATGGTATACAAATAGAAAAACAACAAGAAAAGGTTCTGCAATCTGTGTCTTTCTGTTATAAAACATCCTTTCATTGTAGGGCATATCACAGGAGAAGTCAGTTAGTTCTCATGATAAACTAGCCAGAGCTTCTCTGTGTCTAAAGACAACATTTGAGCCAAAACTGAGAGCAGTTATCCTGCTAAACAAACATTATGGGTGATATTCATCTCATATTTTCCTTTGGACAATTCGCACTGCTCAGAGATTTGGTTCCCCGTCATGAGAAATTCTGGCCCCTTATGTTTTCTTTCAAGTCCTATTCAAAATAGCTTTTAAGTCCAGCATGACGCAATGGCTTTGTACTGACCCTCTCACACAAGTAAATCTCTTCAAATTCCTCTATGCATTTTCATTTTTAGCTTCCATTCATCCTTAGACTTCGCAGACCATGTAAGCTGTCTAGGGGCAAATGCAGTCAGAGAGTAAAAAAAGGGAGCTCAGCATGTTGCCCAATTTCCTTGCCTGCCACAGACACTTGTATTCTTCCCTCTCTTCTGGAAGAAGCCACAGAGGACAAGTGTCCAAGGGGACAAGTCTGTGCTTGCTGCTTTGATCAATGGAGGTAAGTGGAGCTCAGGATTTAGTTAATTTCTTCTATGCTCCTAGTCCCTTCAGAAGGAGTAGACTACTCTGTGAATGAAATTAAGAGTTACCAAAGTAGGGATGAGTATTGCCACTCTGCTAGCTTATCTTCTTGCATAGATAATCAAACAAATTGTCTCCTACTTTCCCAGAAGGCAAGATAGTAACTTTTAGCATTTGGGATGTTGCATTAAAAAGCAACAACATCAAAAAGCCCCTTACTTCTGTATAAAGAATGAGAATTTGCATACAAGATTCAGTAACTCTCCAAAGAGTAACAGAGAAGCAAAAAAAGAGAAGACATCATGACCTCCCTACCTCAGGGATTTTTTCCTATTTACACATTACTTACACATATAGAACTTCTGACCACTAACCAAGCTATTAATATAACTTTATAGCCCACACGAAACATGGCCTAAACCTTGTACTTCACCAGTCAAAAGCAATAAAAAAGATACAGCTTGTTCTTGCTAACTCGAATAGGGCAATCTACTGAAATGGCATTTTTAACTGGCTTAAAAATGACTCTATAAAAGACTGCTTGTTATCAGGGTCTGGTATTCAGGAACTGCATGGAGGTGGGGAGAGAGGGGAGCAAAGTGGCCTTTGAACAAAACTGCTACCACAAATCCTCAGATCAAACACCCTAATTTTAATGACGGAAAATGACTGGAAATGAAAAGCTGTATAAAATAATGAGTTAATCGCACTAAAGACTCCTCCAGGTCAACAAACTTTGCTCTCCAAAGTAAACACTGAGAAGCTGTTTTATCAGTGCCTCTATCTGGTACCAGCCTCGGTCTCCCAGGCCTGAACTGATGCTGACACAAAGCATGTAGTTCCAAATAACTCAGCTTGCACGTCAGAGTTTCCCCTAGAAACTTGGTTCTCGAGTGCTTTCAAAG